GCAGCCTGCCCCGCCGCCGCCGACCTGGCCGCCTGGCAGATGTGGTACGAGGAGAGCCTGGACGGGCGGCTGGCGCCGCAGGGCCGGCGCGACATGGAGCACCTGGCCCGCCGCTTGGCCGCCCGCTTCCCCGCTCTCTTCGCCGCCCGCCGCCGCCTGGAGCTAGCCAGCAGCTCCAAGCACCGCTGCCTGCAGAGCAGCGCCGCGTTCCGCCGCGGGCTCGGGCCTTCCCTCAGCCTCGGCAGCGACGGTAAGCCCGGGCCGCTCACCCGTCCGCACCCCCAGCCCTCCCTGAGGGGCCGAGGGAAGCCGTGAGGCCAGTCCCGCATCCCCCATCCCCAGGCTGAGGGCGACCCTGCACTCCGCGTCCCCCCCCGCCGCCGTAGGGAAACCGCTGCGGGGGGGGGGGACACTGTCCCCGGGAGGGTGGCTGGGCGACCGCGTCCCGGTACCGCTAGGGACGGCGGCGCTTCCCCTGACTGCGTCCTTGAAGCCTGCGTTTGCTTTCAGAGGTGGAGGTGGAAGTTAATGACTCCTTGATGCGGTTTTTTGATCACTGCGCCAAGTTTGTAGCCTTGGTGGAAGAGAACGACACGGCGATGTGCCAGGTGAATGCCTTCAAAGAGGGGCCGGAGATGAGGAAGGTCTTGGAGAAGGTGGCGAGTGCCTTGTGTTTGCCGGTGGAGGAGCTAAACGCAGGTGAGGAATGCCTGTTACGGGTGGCTTCGGCTCCCAGCCTGGCTGAGAACAACTCCCAAGACGTGTAGTTATGCAGAGTAGGTAATTTAAAATATGCTGTGAATTGGAGACACAGTCTGTAATTAAATGTATGGGGCTGTAAACATACATTGGTGTTGCAGTAGCGAATGCTTGTTAGTCAGTGGTCAGAAGAAAAAGACGTTTGAAAATATCTTTCTTGTAGATTAAATCAACCTCACCTTTCTTTAGAGGGATGTCAGTGTTATTCTTTTAATTCTGCTTTGTCGAGCAGGTGTAGCTTTTGTACAACCTGTTACAATTCATAGGTACAAACAACCTCAGGAAAAGGTGGACCTGTATGTCTGTCTTGTAACTTCACGTGTCCAGAATAGAAGTGCTAGGTTTCCCTGTGTGGTCAAGTGGTGGGGGAGCCACCCACAATAGGTGTTGCTGTTGTTTCCAGCATGTCCCTAAAGCCACAATCCCAAAGTTGCAGCACGCTGCTGTTCAAACTCGGCCGCTAATGTGGAGGGTGAGTAGTGGTAGTCAAAGAATGGTCTGTGTTGAACACACACACCTTCCCTGCATTGACTCTTCTGTTCTTTGTGGTGATGAGGATGCACTGGCAGTTGACACCTATAGCATGTCACATCAGCAGACGTGCAACGTTTGATGTGAAATGCTCTTGTTTTCCCCCTCATAGCAACGTAATGTGAAAAGCGTGCAGTCAGAAATTTGGATTCTGCAAAATAGTTACATTGAAAACTGCTTTTTTTTGGTGCTTGGCCTTTGGACTGGTGATTATTTATTGGATTACATTGCTTGCATTGCTAAATTGCAATTACACTTCACTTTTTTTAGAGGCAAGTTGAGAGAAAGTTGGTACTTGTGTAGCAGTGGTTTATCTTGCTTGTTTGTTGGACTTATTGCAGATCTTGTTCAAGTGGCTTTTCTCACCTGTTCATACGAGTTGGCTATAAAAAATGTGACCTCCCCATGGTGTTCACTCTTCAGTGAAGAAGATGCCAAGGTACGTGCTAAATGGGAGAGATTTGAGTAGCCTTCAAAAGATGCCTTAGTGTTCAGATATAACTCTTTGCACAGTCAGAAGTGGTAAGCCCTGCGCCCCTTATTCTTCAACATAATGAAGCACTTCTTTGGTCTCCAAAGAGCTCTGAATTAATCAAGCGGCAAGACTGAAATACCCTTCATTATTCAGGCTTAAGTACTGGTGCAGTCTTGATTTGTCCTGATTAAAATTGTCTTTTCCTATTGTGCTTAATTCATATAATGCTTTTATTTCTGTAACATCAGAAATGCTCTGGACAGCTTTGTTTTGTATATGGTAATCATATGGTAAAATGCCGTGATTCCAGAGGACATCAGATGAGGTCTTCTAGGTCCTCCAAGAGTCTTTTGGGGGACTTTGGGGGTTTTGGGGACTCTCAGATCTCTAAACCTAATGCCTGTTAATAAAACTAGTAGCACCCAGATAAATGTGATTTATGTTGGTTCCTCTTCTTTCAAAAAGTGCCTTATGTAGCCTTTAATGTTCAGTAAGCCCCCCCCCCCCCGAGGCTCTTAAGGAAACTTAGCACCCCTGGGAAAGAGGGGAGACCTCTACATAGATAGCTGGTTTGCTAAAGGGTAGGGAATGGAGTTAGGAGTAAAGGCTCTCCTCTCAAAGAAGAGCAGGATCACCATGGACTTCTGAGACCTGTGCTGTTCAATATATTTATCAGTAACTTACCAGTGAGGTGGGAAAGCTTCCTGATTATATGGAGTTACTTGGGATAGTAAGAATATGGGTTGTTTGAGAGGCTTTGCAGGGGGACCGTGTGAGGGTGAATCACACAGCAGTACAACAGCAGGTGGTGTTCACTGTGAAGCGGTGTGTATGTGGTAAGAAGTTGAAACTTCGTATGAGGTGGCCCTCTCTCAGATCCATTGTGCCACTGTGAAATGAAATTTTGATGGTATTGATCCATGAAAATGTTGGCTCAGCTACAGTAAAATTAATGAACAAAAATTTAAAAAAACAACTTTAATGCTAGGAATTGTAAGCAAAGGAACAGAGAACAAGGAGAGCATCGTGTGCCCTTACATTAATCCAAGGCACAGTTCTGTGTTTTTGAGCTGTGTGCACGTCTCTAGAATGTAGAAATAGACAAACTCAGTTAAAGAATACGGGATTGCTTCCATCTGAAGAATGATTAACTAAGCTAAGGATCTTTGCCCTTCATAAAGCAAAATGACAAATGCTAAAAAAAGCGGTGGATAGTAATTGTCTTGTCAGGTGTAGTACCTAATGGCTACCAAATGAATCTAGCAGCAGGCAGGTTCACAACAGACTGGGTTTATAACACAGTATGTAGCCAAGCTCCGGGCTACTATTAAGGCTAAAACTTGGTATGTTCAAAGGGGAAATTGGGTTATTGTGGGAGAGAATCCACTGAAGTCTATTAAATTTGTAGAAAACCCACCTTAGGGCTCAAAGCCCTGGGCTGAAAACTACTAGAGTCTGGAGAAGCATGCCTGCTGTTTTTCCTAGGCCTGACTTGAGCGTGATCAGAGACAGGATGCTGAATTTGGCGGCCCTTTAGTCTGATCTGTTGTGTCTGGTTTTATGCTGAAGTGGTTTCAACTGGAGCCTTGACTTTTGGGGTTGGGGGTTTTTTTGTGTGTGTGCGTCAAAGCATCGTTTATTTCATGCAGTGTCTGGTAGCATCATTGCTCCAGGTCATGGGGTTTTTATTTTCCCTTAGTGCAATAATAAAAACTTGTGAACTCTGTAACTTTAGGTACTGGAATACCTGAATGACCTGAAGCAATACTGGAAGAGAGGATATGGCTATGACATCAATAGTCGCTCCAGCTGCATTTTATTCCAAGATATCTTCCAGCATTTGGACAAAGCGGTGGAAGAGAGCAAAAGGTAAATAAAGGCTTTTGTGCTTTGGCTACAAGCTTTCTGTGGTCAATCCCGAGTTGGATTTAATGTGAATAGCAGTTTACTTCCAAACAAAACAATGTTAGGAGAGTTTGAGCTAGGAGAATTTTAATGGAGAAAATAAAATTTTTAATAGAGTAGTATTACTGTAAAGAATTTTTTTTTTTAAATTTTATTCTATTGATGCTCTTGTGCCCAGCTAATGTATTTCCATCTTCTAACTTACTGATCCACACAGACCTTCAAGGGACAGCCAGGGTGCTGTGTCTGAGAATGATGTTCTCTTCCTGTAGTTTGAGAAGAGGCCATTGAGTTAAAACAATGAGATTTTTGTTTAAAATGTCCTTGTTAAAATCATTTGTGGTGAAAATGGAAGACTGTGGGTTGAAAGCATCCCCATGATATGTTCTGTTATCTGGTTACTTAAGCACTTCAGTGTGGCAGTCTTTCTTTCTACATGTGTTTGATTTGAGTCTCCTGCATTATTAAAGCTTTCTGTTCAGATTAAAGGTGTTGAAATGTAATTATGGAAAAATAATTATTACAGATCAGTCCACTTACTGATTCTAGACCAGAACAGGCTGTCGCAGGATCCAAGAAGCTGGAGCTGTAACAGAAAACCAGCATTGTAACAAACCCACTTTGTTGTAACTAGGGAAGGGCAGACTTCAGGCAATATACTCGGTGCCCTGCAAGAACGGGAGAAAGACACTTCTGTCCTGAAGTCATTGTAAATGCCTTGATTTGTTGCATGAATCCAAAGTCCATAGTTCAGCTGGCCAGTCCGAGAACTCTGTCTAGGATATTTGGTTTGCCATCCTTATTCTTTTACAGCAAAGCTGTAGTTTGGGAACAACACTAGCTGTAGGAAGATATTAGACCTTACAAGTAACTGTTAGTAGACTTGAAGATACAATAACCAGGTGTCTTCAAAGGATGGTGGTCTGAAAGTGGTTTGTCTTCTCTCTGTTGCCATGATTTAATAAGAGTCGTTTTGTGTCAGTGGAAGAACAACAGCAGTGGTACTCCATCCGCTGAGTCGTGCAGTCCTCAAAACTGCCTTTGTAGTGTCATGGGTATAACCATCCCTATACTTCATTAAAAATTAGAGATGAGACACCTGTGCTATTTTTGTGTGTTATGCCTATGAGCTGGAATCAGTCAGCAGTTGTGATTCAGTATCTATTTGGTGTTGATCTTCTCTCATGTGGATTAGTATGATGGACAGAAATAAAATAGGAACAAAACTGGTATTTGTTGTGGTGTGGAGAAAACAAGGGCTTCAGTTACAGGTTGGAATGTTTGTGTCACAGAATTACCTGCATTTGCTTTCATGTGCTGGTAATACTTTTTTTTTTTTTTTGAGAGAGCTGCTTTAGGCTTAAATGCAGTGTATTCATATTAGAATTTACAACCTGTGTCCATGTTCCTCATGCAAACTGAGGAATTACGAATTCATAGTTAGTGATCAGTCACATGAACTAATACCTCAGCAGGTGAGTGTGGAGATGTTTGTAAAAGTACACAACATCAAGGATATGATAGTAAGATTGTATAAATATTGTGCTGTCAAGTACTTAATAGAAACCAATTTATACGTAACTTTAACTTGCAACCAGCAAATTCAGCTTTGGTGTTGATATGTAAACATTAGTTACATGTGGTGGATGTTCTTGCATTCCTAGCATCCTCAGGACTTTTATTTCTATATTCAATGTATTAAAGGTCTACCTAACACCCAGCAGAATGATGATAATGGCTTTGCTCTTTCAGAAAGAAGAGCCTGAGTCATGGATATGTGAGGCTGGCTATATGTATTTTTTACATAATAACCTGTTGGAAGACCTTTTTTCTTTTTTTCCTTCTAGTTGGCAGACTGAAATTAGAAGTAGCATTCACATTTTGGGTTGGAGGAACGATCCATAAAGTTGACTGTAAGTGTTTTAGAGAAGACAGCAAAGAAACTTTGTTCCTTTAAGAGCGTGCTGACTGGGGATTCAAGCTGGACTTTAACAGTGGTAGAAGAACTGTGTGTTAAGTCAGTTGAAGCATAATTCTCAAACAGTCAGTTGGCTTTTTTGCTGTCCTTTAGTGTGTGATGTAGAGACCCCATGCTCATCACTGGAGCTCTGAGTGACACAGGAATGTTGAGGTCATGTTTAATACATGACAGGGTTCCTTTCATCTAAAGGGGAGTTATCGCTAGGTAAACAGTACAAGTACTATTTATCTTAATTACTTTTGGGATTCACCTGGAAAATCAGGTTGATGTGTCTGTTTTTAAGAGTGTCAGCCTAGTATGCAAGAAGGTAAATGCATTGAAAATTTGCCTTTGATATGTACATGTATGTAGACTTTCCTAACACTTGCACCCAGATTGGTGCCTTGGTCCTGCTCTAATGATTGTGTGAGCTCAGGGAAGGGGGCTGTACAGGGTTGGAAGTGAAAGCCAAGGACAGGAGCATACAGGACCGCCGCATTGCAAGGCAGTGGTGGTCAGGGGCCTTTCTGAATCATACCTGTGCTGTGCACCAGCCAGCATAAAGGGAACATCTCTGTTCATTTTGCCATGAACGGGTTAAAACTTGGCAGTTGCAAACATGAGATAAGTTTGACTTTGGGGAGGAGCTGCTGTGAATGTAAATGTGGGCTGAAGGAAACTGGTGACAGTGACTCCTCTACAGCCAAGCTGGCTTAATTAAGAAATTGTGCTGTCAAATGATTGCTCTAGTGTCTGGAAATCTAAGGCTTGTGTGGGAGTCGGTGGTACCTCTGGTTTTGGTAGTGGTGGAGTCAAAGTAGTGGTTATGGTAGATCACAGTTTAAATAAACTTCTTCACTCCATGCTTTCTTCAGCTTACTAGAGAGCTAAGTGAAAAATACATTAGGGCACAGATCATTAACATGTGACTAAACAGATTGCCAAGCATGCTGCTGTGATTGCCTCTGTCATGTGCTGTGTCTGTCTCTACAAACAAAGTAAGAACTGGGAATGAGAAGATCAGGAAGAAGTGCAGATTAACAGAGAAACAGACAAGCAAGGCCCTTAAGACCCTTTTGTCCTTCTGAAATCTGAAAAATAACTTCTAAATGTAGCTTGTCTCATGTAAGGAGAGTGATCAATTTTGTTTCCTTTTAGTGTAATTTACTCTTTGAACAGTGACAGCCTTCCAGTCCTTAAATTATATGCACTAGTTGCAGCTGTGTGTCTCAACAGTGTATGATATCCCTGTAAGTTTAATAATAATTAAAAAAAAAAGCCGTAGTTGAAAAAAATCTTTATCTCTGCTTCTGATTTGCTGAGAGCTAGATGAGCAGTCCCTAAGTTACAAGGTGGAGCAGGCTCCTTGGGGAAGAGCAGGTGCCTGAGGCAGAGCACTGAAGGACCGAGATAACTTCATCCTGTCTTTCAGCTTTGACTGCAGAAGTTCAGCTGCGGTCTCTGGGGTTCTTGTGTTGTATTGCCACCATAGAGGGAAGCAGGTAGTGAGTGTAAAGGATCAGGACCCTAAAAATCTTGCAAAATTCAAAGCTGGGTGAGCAGTCTGTTTAGTCTGCATCATCCTAAATGGGAACTGGAAGCTTCCAAAGTGCATTGCCTTGCACAAAAGGAGCATGCCACTCCGTCCCACAACGTAAGGTGGCAGTCTTAAAGCACTGAAGACTTGAGTGTAATCTGAATCGGGTAACCCAGTGCATTTAAGAATATGTGGAAATCTGCCACTGCCGATGTATTGGAACAGCTTGTGTCTCTGCTGATCTAGAAAGTAGAGGTGCAACTAATGCTTTTTCATCTAGGGAGAGAGACTTACCCCAGATTCTGTGGCAATATGAGAGTACAAATGAAAACAAGAAACTGTACCAAAAAAAAAACAACCAACCAATGCCTGTGTTAATAACAGTAGAAATGTTTGGTTGTGCATATGTGTGCATGAGTGTCTTTTTTTATGGTATTGTGCAACTTCGGGGCAACAGGTTAAATAGTTTTGCAGCAGTTCATTACTCAGAAAATGAACCTTTGTGATGATGAAATGTCTCTTAGTGGAATGTTGTTTCAATTTAGCAATGTTTAACATTGATTTGTAACTGGCTGGTTGCTTTAAAAAATTTAAGAACAACAAAATTAATTCCAGGCATTCTCTTTGCTTCAAGTTCTCCTTTCTTTCTGAAAAGCTTAGATTGGGCTATCCAAAAGTAGAAAGGGGATGTATTGGTTTTATGTGGCAAGGTTTTGGTAGTGGGGGGGGTTACAGGGGTGGCTCCTGTAAGAAGCTGCTGGAAGCTTCCCCTGTGTTCGAGAGAGAGCGAGCCCATACCAGCTGGCTCTAAGACGGACCCACCGCCGGCCAAGGCCGAGCCAATCAGTGATAGTGGTAACGCCTCTGTGATAACACTTTTAAGAAGGAAAAAAAAGTTGGGACGCGGAAAACAGCCACCGGAGAGAGGAGTGAGAACATGTAAGAGAAACAAGCCTGCGGACACCAAGGTCAGTGCAGAAGGAGGGGGAGGAGATGCTCCAGGCGCCGGAGCGAAGATTCCCCTCCAGCCCGTGGTGAAGACCGTGGTGAGGCAGGCTGTCCCCCTGCAGTCCAGGGAGGTCCACGGTGGGGCAGATCTCCCCCTGCAGCCTGGGGAGGACCCCACGCCGGAGCAGGGGGGTTCCCGAAGGAGGCTGTGACCCCGTGGGAACCCTGCGCTGGAGCAGGTTCCTGGCAGGACCTGCGGATCTGTGGAGAGAGGAGCCCACGGAGCAGGTTTTCTGGCAGGACTTGTGACCCCGTGGGGGAACCACGCTGGAGCAGTCTGTGGCTGAAGGACTGCACACCGTGGAAAGGACCCAGG